GAAAAAAACGACAGTATAGTAAGGCGTTTTTAGCTAAAATGCCTCGTTTTTTTCGTGCCAAAAACGCCTTACTATACTATGTCTTTTTTTTTTGGCTAAAAACGCCTTACTATACTATGTTGTTTTTTTCGTGCCAAAAACGGCATACTATACTATGTCGTTTTTTTCGGCTAAAAATGCCTTACTATACATGGTTCTTTTTTTCGGCTAAAAACGCCTTACTATACATGGTAGTTTTTTTCGGCTAAAAACGCCTGACTATACATGGTCGTTTTTTTCGGCTAAAAACGCCTTACTATACATGGTCGTTTTTTTCGGCTAAAATGGCCTTCCTATACATGGTCGTTTTTTTTTCGGCTAAAAACGCCTTACTATACATGGTCGTTTTTTTCAGCTTAAAACGCCTTACTATATATGGTCGTTTTTTCGGCTAAAAACGCCTTACTATACATCGTCGTTTTTTTCGGCTAAAAAACGCCTTCCTATACATGGTCATTTTTTTCGGCTAAAAACACCTTACTATACATGGTCGTTTTTTTCGGCTAAAAATGCCTTCCTATACATGGTCGTTTTTTTCGGGGTTTTTTTTTTTTTGTAAAACGCCTTACAATACATGGTCGAGTTTTGGGGCTCAAAACTCCTCACAATATATGGTTGGGTTTTCTTTGGCTAAAAATGCCTTACTATACATGGTTGGGTTTTTTTCAGTTAAAAACGCCTGACTGTAGATGGTCATCTTTTTTTAATTAAAAAAGCCTTCCTATATTCATGGTCTCGTATTTTTTTAAAAAGTGTCTTATATCGGGACAATGTAGAGTGTTCATGACCTGCCTGGTAGTCGAATGGTTTGTGTGTCTGCGTCACAGTGCAGAGGTGCAGCGTTCGATTCCGGCTCCGGCCTTCCTGTGTGCCATCCAAACTGCGTAAAATGTCCAGGGGAAGACTGTCCAAAAAAGGGCAGGAGCGCCGTAAAGAGCGGATTCACCAGACAAGTTCAGCAAAGGAGCAGACAGAACAGTTAAAGCCGAGCTTGGAGAACAATAAAATGCGCGCCAACCTTGCCTAAGGCTGAAATTTGAGGTAAATGATGGAACAAAAAAATAGCAGCAGAAGAGAGAAACTGACAAAAAAAAAAAAAAACAGACGAGGCTGGGGCAAGACAGAGGTCAGAGACTTTTAGTTGTTGCTCGAGCAAGCCTGTGTTGAGGAGAGGGCCACCGAGAGCTGGCGGCAGAAAAAGAAAAGTGCTGATGGAGCACCAGTAGAAAGAACCAACTTGCAGGGTTATTTATAACGTGCGCCTAAATCTCCGAGAAAAGAAGATCAGTGGTGCCATGAGAGTCACGTTAACGTGGGAGCAAAAGGTCTGAAAGTTCCTGGCCGCATGCCAGAATGAGCAAAGGAAAACCAAATTTGCCACCGTGCTGAGGATGACAGCGGTGGTACAGGAGGCAAACCCCCCCCCCACACACACACACACACACAAGGATCTGTCTTATTAAGTCACGCAGGAATTGAGGTGGACGAAGCTGAAGTGTAGCGAGGTTGCGTCCGTGTTGAGCGACCTCCGTCTGGTGTCTCTTCAAAGAGCCTCCATCCACTCTGGACGCGCGTTCCCGGCGGGGAGCCGCTTCGGGCTGGAGACTGACCCAGTCGTGGTGAAGTCACTGGTCCGTATGCCACAGTTGCTGTGCCGCGGGGGGGAGGGGGGGGCTACCGTGAGGGCTTAATTACTCTTCATGTGTGAAAATAGGTGAGGAGAGTGCAATCGGAAAAAAGCAAGCAGACTGCTAATTTGTTTCTTTATTTCAAACGATAGGCAGAGCATTTTGAAAAAAAAAAAATCTATTTGTCTCTTGAGTATTAAAAGAATGCCGTTCCATCCAAACGGCTTTCATACCTCATTTCACGTGCCCCGAGAAAGTAAATTCATCCATTCTCATGGCCACAACGTAAGGTGTCGGGGACAAGTTGTGAGAAGTGTTTCTAGTAAAGCGGAGTGACATTTGCTGTTTTTCTTATTCGTTAAAGCGTTGTGTTGGACAAGAGAAGAATTGTATTGCAGCAAAACTCTTTGAATTGAAATACGATCCCTTTTTGCTTTCATGATTTTTCTCCATCTATTCAATTTCAGAGTCACAAATTGTCACCGGTGTTGATCCGTCTTGCAGGGATGCTCCTATTTATCTTTGTGTGCTTTTTTTTTTGCACTCTGCCCGTGCACTTTTCATTTCTCTTTCTCTTTTGTATGTTGTATTCTTATTAATCCCCGCAGGGTCTGTTTGTGTCTCTTCTATCTTCACCCGCTAGTTTTAAGCCTCTTTGTGTTTCCCTAAAGTGCATAAGAGGGTTTTTCTTTTCTTTTCTTCACCCCCCCATCAGGGATGAAGTATTGCCGCAGCAATTCTTTGAGGTTATGCTGTGCCCGATCATATTTTCTGTCACATCTTAATCCAACGGCTGGATTAATCATGAACGCAGATTTTAGTAACTGGAATTCAGACATTGAAACCTTCGTCATTTCCTGAGGTGACGGTCGCCAGGTCACAAGGTGGCATGCGTGCGGTTTTCAGAATCCATTTTCATGCTGGCCGCTTGCCAAACACCATGAAAATGGATTCGGCGTGCTCCTTCACATTCTATTTGACTGATGGCCAAGAGTCGTCTTTCTGTTTGGAGCGACGGGAGGAGGAGGAGCGAGCTCTGCACACTCTAATGACACGTCAGCACGGAAACTCCTTTGAACAAACCTGAAAAATCATTCCAAGAACCAAACGTCACTTTCAAGTTGAAAACATGCAAGATATTTGCCGGGGATGAAGCGGCGTCAAGCTGACTTTCGCTGGACAAACGCATGAGCGGATGACGACCGACGGTGCCAGTGGAGTCTGGGACTGACTCGCACTTTCTGATCCCATTTGACTGCGAAAAACAAGAGGTCACTGCAGATGACTTTTTCTGCTTTTTTTTTTGTTGTCTTTATTTTCGATTTATTTAATAATTCCCGATTTGATATCTTCATTGTATGCCCATATCTCTCTCAACAACGTATTCTTCCGCTGCCACGGGAATTTCTTTTGTTCTGCATTTTCACCCGTTTCTCATCAATGAGATATTTTCTTTCACCAAAATGTGACTTTTGGGAAAACTCAAGACAACATTAACATTTGTCATGATTCCTTTCATTTTGACAGGGATGGGAATTGAATTTTTAACTTGAGAGGGGTGAACATCTTCCTTTTTCAAAAATGGTATCTGCACATCAAAGTTGACAAAAGCCTTTTGTCGTTTGGTGCGTTCGCTGTACGGCGCAGGCACGCGGGAATATTTTGCCACCGTAATCGCTGAGCACGGCGCCGCCGTTTGCTTGCGTTTACGATTTCTAATCGGGCCACATGGAAACTCACGAGAAGTCCTGCATCCAGAGGACTCTCGTGACTTTAATCTTTCAAATGGTGTCATTGATTTGCAAGTTTCTCTCCAGCCCGTCTCGTTTGTTCTTGTCAGACCGCCAAGAGGGTGTTCCAGGCAGACAAAAGAAAATCCCCACTTTGATTCATTTGAGGCTTCCATTTGATTATTTTGCTCTTAAAGGAAAGGGGGAAAAAAAGAGCGATGCCGAGTGATAGCGCAAGGCAGGACCGGGCGCATTTCCCAAACGGTGACAGCCCACGGGAAGAACAACCATCCGCCCGCTCACGATGAGATTCAAACCGAAGCGCGCGAGCGGGCCAGCACTGGATGTACAAACGCGGCGTCCAAAGCAGATGGTGGAAGGAACTCCGTGAGCGCCATGACCGCGTCTTTGCCAACTGCGTTTTCCAAAAACTAGCTTGTTTTTTTTTCTTGGGTTTTTTTTTTGGGGGGGGGTGAGTCCTTCCCGCAGTGGAGTCAAAAGTGGGTTCAAAATACAAAGAGGGCGACACGAAAAAGAACGAAGCGCTTTTGGCGCTGTGAGCGGGTCAAAGGTTGTGGCTGGCGGACGCTTAAGAAATGATCCCAACTGAATGAATAATTGCTTTCGCATCTCACGTGTGCGTGCGCGCGCGGGCGCGTGTGTTAATCCCCTCAGTTTTGCCGCTGATTTCCTTCGTCAAGCGTGAGAAAGTAATTAATCAGATCTGAAATGAGATTCTCAAATTAATGCCGCGGTGTGTGCGTGTGCGTCACCATTTTAGCCCTAATTAATTCTGACAGGCAAATGATGTCAGTTTCCAGCTCCTCATCAGTTCTTCGCCGCGCACCGTCTCCGTCTGGCTTTTCTCCTCACTTTTCGGCCACATCTTGGACTTTCGTTCTCATCATTTTCCTGATTTGACAGACGGACTTGATTAAGTTTTATCATGTTTCGGTGCTTCTCAATCCAATAAGTATACTCAGAAATAAAAAGAGTCAAATGATGGTAAGGCGGGCATAACATTTTGGCATCGCACATCAATTCGCAGTCCGGGAATAGAGTCGCTTTCATTTCATTGTGCAAACCGGGCTAATTGGCTGTCAGTTGGCGAACGCGGAGCTGTCAGATTCACTTCCTGTTTATTGCCGAGAGATTCGGGCCGCGGCGGGACAACAACAGCACCTGGTGGATGCTTTCATTCCTTGTGACAACCTTCAATACGATCGCGATGGAGCGTTCATCCAAACGGTGGGAGCAAAGACGAATGTCTGACTGAGAAGAAAGAAATTACTGTCTGTGGGGGTTGCCGGTCATGTAATCGAGCAATTGACTTTGTTCTTTCGATGAGTGCGAGATTCGGGCCGCGGCGGGACAACAACAGCACCTGCTGGATGCTTTCGCAATTGACTTTGTTCTTTCGATGAGTGGTCCCCAATCGTTTTTGAGTCACGGAGCGGTTGAGACGAGCGCGTGCTGTTCGTGGACAGGCAAAGCTCTTTTGGGTTTTCTCCGGGTACTTCGCTTTCCTCCCACATTCCCAAAACACGCACGGCAGCTCGATATTGTGCCGAGGTGCGATCGCGAGCGCCAATGGTTGTTCGTCTACGCGTGCCCTGCGATTGGCCGGCAACCGCCTCCTGCCCGAAGACAGCTGGCATCGGCTCCGGCACGCCCGCAACCCTCGTGAGGACAACCGGCTCGGATAAGAGAGGCTTGCATCATAAACTTGAGAAAAGATGACATTTGGAAGATCAATTCAGAGCTTCCTCCTGGCCGCAACACGGCTTGCGTGCTTTGCCAAATATACACCAGTCGTAAGGCTCGATTCCTGTAGGGCGTGCACATGCATGAAAATAGCCTTAAATTATTCTTTTTTTTTTTTTAATCCCCCGATTTCAAAATTGCATATAAATGCCGCGAATGAATAATCAGAGCTCATCAAAATACAGCAAGTCAACTGGCGGGCTAATACACACAGGTTAACACAAACATAAAGAGGCACTGAGGCATCCTACTCATGATTAAATCAAGAGGCACCGCTGGCGTTGGCGCGAGACGGCAGATGGATCAGACCTTGTGTGTCTAGAGCCCAGAACTGAAAATGGAGGCGGAGGTAGATCGGGTCGAGCCCAGAGCGCAGCCCCAGGATGGCGGCGCAGAGGTCTTGAGTCAAGTCGCAATCTCTGGACTGACCTTTTTTTTTTTTTTTTTTTTCACCCCAATGGCAAGATTTGTCCCAAATTGCAGCTTAGCATCGAGCAAAAAAAAGTTAGCATTCGACTTTTTAAGCATCCAAACTCCTCCCAGATTCCAAATGGAAGACTTTTCAAGAATTTGTCATGTTGTTTTGCTCTCCATCCATCATCTGGTCCGCTTCTCCTCAAGAGGGTCATTTGCGAAACACGGAAAAGCCCTCACCAAAACGGGACCGTTAGCAGATTTGAACTCATGGGCGAGCACTCATTTACGCGTGATCGTAGGTAGATCATCCATTTGGAGACCGAAAAACGTTCATTTATTTATTCATTTATGTATTTATTTTTCTTCTTTTCTTCAAACACTCACAAGCTGTACTGAACTCCAACCCCACTATGGGTGATTTACATTGCTGGTGTATTATTTTGGGCTGCTGTAACAGCACTTTACCTTGCTGCGGGGATGTTCCCATTCTGCCACAAAACCAAAAGTGAGGTCCGACGCTGATGCTAGCTGATCACGTGGGTCCGGCTGAGGGGAGGTCGCGGCTTTGTGTGAATGACCCCTTCCAGAGGGAACTTCATGAACCGCAAAGTCGTTGGCGTGTTGGACGAAATGAAAGCCTGGACAGGAAAAAAAAACAAACACATTGCACTTGAGTTTCATGAAAGGTTGTGGCAAGTGTTTTCAACACCAAACTAAATTATGGGGAAGGAACATTCCACGTAATTGACCACGGAAATGACTTGCTGACATTTTACCACTTGTGGGTTGAAATGTGTGTTGCTGTTCGCTAGCAGTTAAAATAAGTAAATACGAAAAAGAATTTTTGTAGTAGCCACAAAACCTCTCTCTCCCTCTCTCTTACATCATTTTGCTTAGTTGCTGGATGTCCCCTTGGCTTAAGCTCTCACAATGCATTCAATAAGTACTGTCATAAAATAAACAACATATTTCTCTGTTTAGAGAGCCCAATGTCTGGGTAATTGTCATTGTCACCCTTGTGTAGGCTGCGAAATCCGCTGCTCCTCTGTGAAAATTGATTGAATTGTAAAATCCCAGAAAGTTTAGCAAAATAAGCAAAAGGGCAACTGTTTTCAGAATCATTTCCTTAATGTGTGTGTGTGTGTGTGTGTGTGTAGCAGAACAATGTCTATTGTGTTCCTGGCCAATTTCCCGTTTCTGTTGTGTGGAAGAGCAAGTTGCCAAGGAAACGGCATAATGAGAGCAGACCTAACTGACATCTGCCATTTTTAAATTGGGCAGAATTGTACCGATTCTGCAGTCGTTCTCGGAATCCTGCAGTTCAAGTGAGCATTTGAATTTGCACTGTTGCCATAGCGAGAGTACTCATGTTGGGTCTTTCAGTGCGATATTGTATTTCGATGCTCTTTTGGACCCAGAAAATGTAAAAACTGTTTCCTTTAAGTGCAATAATTTGATGGTATGAAGGCAAATCATCAGCAAGTGACTGGGAAACGGTTTGACACAATTTGCTGGGAGCTCATTAAAACAGATAGCCAGACTGTGTCAAAGTATTAAAAATCAACGGGAGCACTTACATCTCATGTACACCGTGACTATAACTAGAACCAGTGGAATAAGATATGTTGTAAATACCTAGCCGGATTTTCTCACCAAAGAATGTATGTACAGCATGGCATCAAGCGATGCCTTTATTTGAGCTTTCTTGATGTATTAATGTCACCCCTCTAATTTTAGACGTACATTAAAATACCATGACGTCAGCAAACCAGTATGACACCCTTGCTGTAACCAACCCCCGTTTCGAATGGGGTGGGCTGGGGACAATGAAATGAGCACTCTTGCATACAACTTAAGGAATCTCCCCTGAGAGGGCCCAAAGGTTGACATGATACCATGATGTTGAAATGGCATTGGACTACTTCAATATTTCGTCACCTTCTAAAATTAACGGCCTAAGTCACACACACCTTCTAACAGTGCTTTGCAAGTTGAAGTCATCAGAATTCGCAAAAAGTAACGGTACCAAATTGACCAAACGTGCAGCGAAACGCGGAGCTGCAGGGCAACCGAGACTTCCGAAGATGAAGCGATTAGGACAAGAGAAGTACCCCCCCTAGCGACGTGTAGGGGGAAGATGTTGTGCGTGCTATGGCGTCAAAAACAGACAAGAAACCTGTTCAATCATTTGAACAAGTAAGTGATCAAGTGGGAAGCGTGAAAATGCGCCCACCTAAACATGAGCAGTTTAGTCGCTAATGACGAGCCGGCAGCCAACGGATAAACGCAGCAAACAAGCCTGTCGTCTTTTGAGCAGTCACATTTGCAAGTAGCAGTGATGCTAACTTTCTTTGGCCCATATTTACAATACACCCATCACTGTTATCACAGTGACAGCACTGCCTGTAACAGGAGTGCAAACACGGAAGTATGTTGGCTTTCTCTCAGGAGTAACAAGCTGGCTTTTAAGAAGCTGGCTTTAAGGCTGATGGCCAGGAGAACAAATTTACGTGCGCAAACAAGATTGGCTTTTAAGAAGCTGGCTTTAAGGCTGATGGCCAAGAGGACAAACAAGAAAAAAAATGTGAAAAGAATTGTTTGATCCTGATCATATGCATCACAGTAAACCGTTCAATCAAGGCTACTGTATTGTATAGAAATATTGGTTAAAAATTTGACAAATAGAAGAGAGGACATACCTTTGCTCTATCCATTCTTTTGGAAAGCTGTCAGATGAGGTCAAGTTCTGCGTGTCATATGATTCGTCGCTTTCCTCTTCTTCTACCATGCTAAAAAGGTGGAAACGGGGTTGCGTGCGTGCGGCGGCACACACGTTACATGAATATTAATTATGATTTCAAACATGATGTCGTGGAAAAATAGGTGACTCTTCCACCTTCTTAAAAAAATACATTCTTTGAGCAGTTTTGACCAGACTCGTGCAACGTTCATGTCTCAATCAAAGACCAATTTAATGCAATGCTGACCTCCAGTGGAGGTTTGTAAACTGCCTGTGATTATTTCATGTACGGCAGTCTGCATTCAAAATATATTTTGGGGGTGGTGGGGTCGGTCACCCACGATAAAATGATACATGCTACTTGATTACCGGTCCTTTAAAAGGCACTCGATTTTTCTTAATCGTTGTATTTACATTTATTTCCATGCACGCTTTATAATCATTGCTGTTGACATTTGCATCCCAAAATGAGTACATTAACAATGATTACTGTATAGTTGTACTACTGATACAATCTCTCATGAAATGCCGAGCAAAGCTGAATAGCAGCTTTGCAGATCATTCCCTAATTTACATTCAACATTTTAAAACATTAAACACGTACGGTGCACGGCAGGGGGGTCCAAACTTTTTTCGCTTGAGGGTCGCACACAGAAAAAAATAGAAGGATGAAAGGGCCACTTTTAAATTCGTCAACTTTTCGAAACACGCTCAGTCTTTGAAACAAGTCAGTCCTTTGACTTGACTTGATTTGAACATGTACTGTACACTGATTGCACATACGGTATTTGGAATGTGTTACACTAACAAATAGTGACTATAAAATGTGAACAAAATATATGAATAAAAGCATGGTACAAACTGTTGGAAGTTTTATTTCATCGTTAGCATCAACATGGTTTGCAACACGACAAACGTGCACAGTCCGGTCGTGACAAACAATTTGCACTTCTCAAGACATTAAACGGCTAAGAGAGATTCATCGCAAATCGATTTTAAATGGATTTAAACTGCTTCAACTATGCGACCGATATTGAAATTTTGATCACAAAAGGATTTGTAATGATCATTTTCATGTTTCACTTGTGGCAAAAACAAAACACTGATAAGGCAAAAAAATTGGTTCAACGGTTTTAACGATGAGTTAATTTTCAAGTTTTTATTTTCATTCCAAATAGTTAGTTTGTAACAAGAACAAAACCCAGAGTTTAAAAACATCTTTTGCTGACAAAATGAGTCATTACTTTTGTTGGAGGAAAAAAAAAATTTGAAGCAAAATCAGGAATCGGAAATCGATTGCAATCAGGGCTTGCGAGAATCATGACATCCCTAACAGTGCACCGTGCACACGTCATGATCCTTCCCTCAGTCTCCATTTCAAAGCTGACCTGGAGCACATTGGATGTTTTATTTTTCGTGCATTGCGGTCACGGTGAAGCAGAATGAAGTTCTGCGAGCCGCTGCCGGGCATTCTGAGATCGCCTGATCCTCTCCTCCAAAAATCCCCGTTGATGCTCGTTCCTCTGATCCAACTTGACTAACCACTGCATCCTCAGCCTGGAGAGAGTGGAAGAGAGGCCCGTTGAACACTCCGACGCCACAATCGTTGCCAGTAGGACACGATGAATACGGTGGGTTCACACTTAACCTGCGATTGGAACTGGCCAATGAAATCGCTTAGCCCGGGGCTCCCCAAGCACCCATTTGGGACCAGTGTTTGGGGAGAGACGGACCTGTGAGCAAATTTACTCACTTAGACGTGGTGCGAACTGGTACCAAGTCCATCCGGTTTTGTTTGTTTGTTTGTTTGTTTGTTTGTTTGTTTGTTTTTTTACTGAAATCCCTGTTCATTGTTTCTAAAGGCCATATCTCACTGAGAGACGAATGCCTGGGAGTGTTTGCGAACGGAGCGAATGTTTTTTTTTTCTTTCTCATCAGGGTTCAATCAAGCTTGCAAAGATATCCGTGAGCCGTTCACAGTTTTTACTTGTCGCGACATTCGCTCCGCGCACAAACAGTCGCGAGCAATCGCGAGCAATCGCCGCTCGGGCGGGTTCGGACTTGAGGAGAGGAACGGCGGCAAGACTAAAGCCAGCATTTCCCCTGGTACCGTCCATCTCGGGTTTGGGCTGGGATTAATCGGGCAGGCATCTACTGCAACTTGAGCTGAGGTGACTGCTGCCAGGCATAATTAAGTTGTTAAAAAAAAGGGCACACATCAGTACGGTGCCGGTGTCTCGATCCGCGTTGCGATGTCAGTGAAAATCTGTCATCGCGCACCGTCACATCTCACTTAATGTGAATCATTCTACTCATCTGTCCTCGGATATTCCCACTGATCTGGGGGATTGAAATGGATGGCCAGGCGGCCCTAATCAACATTCCCAGGCTACTCCGTGTTGACAGACAGGCGAGCTGTAAACATCAGCGAGACAATTTATAAAACTCACGTCGCTGTGAAGCTGGAATGAAAGTTGGCTCTTCCTACAACGAACACAACGTACAAAGCTTATAAAAGAAAAGATCACCTCGCCAAAGAAATATTGGAATACCGCTGGAACACTCGTCAGCTGCTTCTTTCCGTACCGGCACCATTTTAAAGAGTGACAATAAAGCCATCAATTATTTCAGTTGCGTCGTATATTTCGGATGAAGCTGCATGCCAAATGAGAGCTGCTTCCAATATTTCTGTTTGTTATTCAAGCGTAAGCTTATGTTATGTTATTAATTATTATCATTTTATGTTTGAGCATCATATTATTTCATGTTTAGAATCCCTAAATTATATTCTGTGGTTTAATAATTGCTTAGACATGTTTTTATGTTGATAGGTTCTGATTGGCTGTTGAAGTAAGAGAAGCAGGAAGTGATTTGAGTTACGAGGGTTGTGTTCTCGAACGTGCCGCGGTGCGGACGTCTTTTTTTCCCTTTTAATAAAACTGCATTTAAAGGATTCCATCTCTCCTTTTGCCGTTCGCAAAGTAGAGCTATCAACTAAAAACAACGAACCCCTCAATTTACACAAGCAAATAAGACAGTTTGAAATGTAAGACAGAAACAACGCTGCTTCCCATCACTGAAAACAGCAAGCCTAATTGTCAAACAGATGAATCCTTTTCTGACTGTGTCACTCAAATCTGAGTATTTTCTTTTAACGGAGATGTTTTTAGTAGATAGTGCTTGTATTAGATGACATACCGCGCTGTGCTGATCGTCAAAACCAAAAAAAGCATTTTGGGTGAGTGTGGTTCGATGCCGACCTTGTCAGGGCGCTGCTCTTCCTGCGGCTTTCCTCCTCGACCATCTGTTGCATGTGCCGGTCGATCCTCCGCTCCCAGAAGAACTTCAGGTTCTGTTTGTCGTGGATGCGAGCCACGTTCATCCTTTGGCAGCAGCCTGTCAATGCAAGATGAATTTTTACGCCCGCTTTGTTTTGAGTTGATTTCCTTGCAATCTTCGACCGACTGGTTGAATGACTTACTGATGCTTTCCAAGGAATTGGAGTCTTGCTTCCTCCGCGCGCTGCTGTGTCTCACTTCTCACTCTTCTTCTTGCGATTCATCTTCTTCCCTCGTCCTTTTCTGTTCTTTTTTTTTTTTTTTGGCTGGCTCATATCTCCCACCGTCAGCCTCTTTATTCCTGTCTTTTAACTCCTCCCCCCCCCAAATCTTCGCCATTCTCTTTCATTGTCTCTCACTTGTCATTCGCTCCCACGCCTGTCATGAATACAACAATTTTTTTTTGTCGGCCCCCGCCCCCTTCCAAACTGGCTAATGTTGCATTAATATCATTAATGTCAGTGAAGGCTTTGAGACATTCATTTCATAGCCTCTGGTCTTTACACTCCAGATAGAATTATTTTATTGTAAATATAAAAAAATGGAAAAATTGCAATGTTTTTGACCAGCAAGACACACAAACACACACACACACAAATCCACTTGCTCTCACGCATCCTTTCATGGGGCTCCATTCCCGTTTGTGTCTGATTGGGTTTATTTTAACGACAACTTGAACAGGTGCGCATACGTGTTTTCCAAGCTTTTTGTGGTGGTTGCAGACAAAATCCCTCTGCGGGTCAGTCAGACGGAAGGCATTACAAAACTTTAATATCATGTCACACACCGCACTGACTCCGAGCCACATCCTTCCTAGCAGCTGATCAGGACCACGGCGCAAACTTCACGGCCGGGATTAAACCATCTGACAGGACTGGGATGTGTGTGGAAGGCCTGGACAATTCCACAGTGCCCACTGGATTATCATGTCAAACCCCGTGATACGACAATAAAACACAGACCGTGTAAAACGCCGCTCATTGAGGAGCTGCAATGGTAACTTACAACAAATCCTGTTAAAAACAAGATGATGGCATGGTGCACGTACAGTGGCTTGCCAAAGAACCCCGCCCCCTTCTTTTGTTAATCCTTCGGATCACTCAACAAAAAAAAAACAAAAAGATCCATTGCTGTTCATATCGTAACCATTCCCTCCGATGCTACGTGAAGTTTATTAAATCTTCTCCAATCCTGTTCCCTGCCCCCCCCCCCAATCAGAAGATCATTACAACATTCCGCCACCAAGAGACGGAGGCTTAAATCTTTCCATCACCAGTGGGAGGACGTGGCGATTGGGGAGCTTTCAGAAATGTCACGTTGCTCGCAGAATTCTTGCTTCGCCAAAGACTTTTTCCCAGCTTAGGAAATCCAACCCTGGTGAGAAGCTTTCAATGGAGATTTTCGCTGAACCATGAATGATGAAAACCTTGTCGGGAGTTCTTAATAGGATCTGTGGGTTTAAGTCACCACTTCATTCTTGGTGACACTGCTCTCTCGCCCCGAAAGGGTGGATAACAAAAGGAGGATTACAGTCATATTAGCGGGAGATTTATGATGTTAAAAACAACTGATCCGGATGATCATGTTTTAGCAGGAGGAAGCCCACGCAGGCACGGGGGAGAACATGCAAACTCCACACAGGAAGGCCGGAGCCGGAATCGAACCTTGCACCGCTGCAGTGTGAGGCCGTTGTGCTAACGAGTTGTGCACCGCGCCACACTCTTTTAATCCTGAATGGTTTATTGGTGTCTTCGAATACAGTATCGAGAAAAGCTCTCCACCCTCTCTGCCCACCTTCACCTTTTTTAAGAAACTTTGTGGCCCAAGTCAAATGTCATTTTTTGTTGTTTTTTTTTGGTCAGGTCATGGGCCGCTGACAAATGGATGGCGGGCCGTAGCTTGGACACCCCTGTGCTCACTGGGTGTCATGGACGGCATTTGTCATTTGGATATCTGCTCCTCAGTTCTGAGATTCCGGATTGGACTCGTCTTGTTTTACGTGTTCTCCCTGTGCTTGTGTGGGCTTTTTCCTGGAACTCCAATCCCCCCCCCCCCCACACATGGAAGTTAATTGAAGACCCTCAATTGCGCATCGGTGTGAATGTGAGTGTGAATGCGCGTCTGTCACTATTTGCGCCCTTCCGATTGGCTGGCAACCAGTCCAGAGTGTCCCGCCAAAATTAAGGATGCAGTTGTAATTCACATGATTGTGGGCCACATGTGACCTTTTGCATTTATTCGTCATTATTGAAGTAAAGATAAGACTGAGCGTGCCAACAAGCAGAGCAACAACTGATGCGCGTGTTTAAGATAAGAACGCAACAGAGATTCAATTCAAGCGCCATCACCAAACTGGAGATAAGAGACTTGTCACTGAAAATTAGATAAGAGGAGGAGGAGGAAGGGACGCTTGCATGGGGGAAAGAGCTTGGAATTTGGGAAATGCTTACTCTTTGAAATACTATTAAGTGTGTAAACAAAAACAAAAAAGTAATAACTACCAGTAAGTAGTTCTTACACTACTTTGTATTAGTGAATGGGTATTTTTTTGGCCGGCAATGACCCCCCCCCACCCCCCCCAAAAAAAAAAAAGTTGGAAAAGATGTGACGCATGAGGGATAGTTGAAAACATGTTCTATTTTCACACTTTGAAAATTCTTCCGACCCTCATTCACATGACACATTCATTTATCCCTTGTGCAAACCGAAGACAAAAACGTTTTATCTTTCCTTCATGAAGAAATAGCCTGCAACATAAAATATAACAAAATGAGATCATTTTCATCAAGCTTTTTTTATGTAGCGCTGTCTCACAGGTAAACGTGCACAAATTTGGATTGTGGTTGAATGTCTGGGAATAAACATTGCGTGTTCATTTCTGTTCACAAAGGAAATTTTGAAAGCCTGCGATTGAGAAGCACTTCATAATATTAATCGCATGGCCTTGCCTGCCAAAAATGTCCGTCAGCGTCATCCGGCAGCTCCGCAGGCCATAAAACACACCAGTCGCTGAACTTTATGGCTACTCATCAGGGTTTGAAAGAGTTCACTCATCAGGAACAACGTCTGGCTTCCAGTTTTCCAGAGATGGTTTTCATCTTCTGTGAATGACACTTTGAATAAAATAAATATTTTTTTAAAAAACAGATTTGAAGCTCAGACTGCTGTGGAGATCTATCGTTTCTATCCAGCCTTAATATCAATCTATCTGTCTCCCATCATAAGAGGAGACACAGTAGAAGCGGTGTCAGACTCAGCACGCGGCTGTACTGAAGTATCCTGACAGCAGACGAATGGTACCACTGCACCTCCTCGGAGTCATCTGGAAACCATACAAACACACAATTTAGAACATACATCAAGCAATAATCAACTGTTCTTATAGTAGCGTCGTGTGATACAATTAACTTTTGTGGTGGAAATAGAAAGAACTAGTGCTAACCTGGGCACTGGCGTGGTGAACTAGCGTGAGTGCAAACGCGTTGGAAAAGGGAATGAGGGAATGAGCTTATAGGCTGCTCGTGGGATGCAAATTGGGAAGGTTTTAAACGTTGTTGTCTAACTACCGCATGTTTATGCCTCGTCGACACACAAACAGAGAGAAAAGCACTTCAGCTGGGAGCTTTGTACTTGGGAAAACAACAAAGTCCGCCTGACACGCTGCGGACCAAATAATAATGATAATAATAATGTGTGGCGTCCATACCGCAGTCTTTGTGGAAGACGCGGGGGAAGCAGTGCAGCAAACCGTACCCACAACGACAGTATGAGCAGCCTTTGCGCACCCATTCACCATGTGGAACCGGACCACAGCGCCTGCAGACCGAAAAAGAGACAAGGCATCATTTCACTGATACCATGATTTCAATTATGCTTTGTACTTGGGAAAACAACAAAGTCCGCCTGACACGCTGCGGACCAAATAATAATGATAATAATAATGTGTGGCGTCCATACCGCAGTCTTTGTGGAAGACGCGGGGGAAGCAGTGCAGCAAACCGTACCCACAACGACAGTATGAGCAGCCCTTGCGCACCCATTCGCCATGTGGAACCGGACCACAGCGCCTGAAGACCAAAGAAGAGACGAGGCATCATTTCACTGATACCATGATTTCAATTATATGCATGAAGCGGATTTCGGTGAACCGCCACCATTTTGACCATCATCTGGCTTTTCTATGAATGTGAAAAAAAAATGTCGTTGTCAATGACTTTTCAAAATATGATACAGCGTATTTCGGCATGACCAAATTATGTGAAAGTGACATTTGGCCTCAAGTATCTCTGCGAGGGTGTCGGTCTCATTAGAAGGTGAATGGAAAATGTGTTGAGAGCAGTAATTCGGCTGAGTGTGGGTGTTTTGTTTTTTTTGTTTTTTTACATTACCTGATGCGCTGGTTGTATTCGCAGCTGCGACCAGTAAAGAAAGGAGGACAAGCACAGAAACTGCCCAGAATGCAGGTTCCTCCATTCTTACAGCAGCTTCGACTCTGCTCGGCGCCTAGAAAACAATGGGAAAGTAAAACTACATTTCTGCAGGATTTTTTATTTTTTTGAGGTGTACAATTGTTGGACGTTGTTTCACAAAACCATCAAAAGAACCAAGATTTAGGGAAATCTGTGTTCATTTTGTGTTTTCAGTATTTTTTTTTTTTGTCCCAGATCTCAGATTGGGCCCCTCTGTGTGTTTGTGTCTGTGACGTAATCCATTAACCACACACACACACACACACACACACACACACACACACACACACACACACACACACTCTTGGGGTGCATCTGCTTTACGTCAGCAGACAAACACAAAGAGTCTGAACAAACATCTGAAAATAACAAAAATACACTAAAACTCCCAAGACTGTGTGTCTGCCTATATTGTGGGTGGAAATACACGTGCTTTGAAGTGTGTTTTGTTTGCCTTGGTGCATGTAAAAAGTCTTATGCAATATCTTTATTTCACAATGTTGATTTAAAAGTTGGAAAAAAAATATTGTCAGTTTTTAATCAATTAACAAGCAACAGAAAAACGTCGGCCATGAGAGTCAAGCCTGTGTGACAAATCTTGCCAACGCGCGGGCAGGTTGGCTGCCGGCGTCTGTGCACACAGCGACTAATTGGACAAACTTACTGTTGGTGAGGCCGACGAAGGGCATGACGGCGTTGGCATCACGGTGTTTACGGTCCCCGTTGTTTGGCAAGCTACCTTGGGCAAATTGATCAAGGAAGTCTTGAGAGGGCTCCTGGGATTTGACCTCAGCGGGGGCCAACAGAGGAAATGGAGGAGTCGGGCCTTTGTGGCACTCCTCTCCCATACAACCTAAAAAAAAAAAAAAAAAAAAAAAAAAAAAAGCATGTCAACCAGAATTTTTTTTTTTACTACTAACCTCTTACTTACGCTAGCCATAACCTTTTCTTTGTGGGTCCTAATCCTTTTGCCAATTATTGTGTGTGTTCGTTGACAACTCTTGCAAGATTTCGTAAGCATAGTTAAAAATTATAACCATAATACTAGATAAAATAACAGGTCCAGAGCTGTACTTGAAGCCGTGACGCGACGGAAAAGTACCATTGCCGAGTAAACCACAACGCTACCACACATACACCAAAACACGATTCCACAAGTTGTACTTGTAGTTCTCGCGCGATTCACGACAAATTGCTGTGCGGCGAGCTGGTGGTCACGGCAAAAATAAACAAGGCGAATTGAAGAAAAAAACCTTACGCTAGCCATAACCTTTTCTTTGTGGGTCCTAATCCTTTTGCCAATTATTGTGTGTGTTCGTTGACAACTCTTGCAAGATTTCGTAAGCATAGTTAAAAATTATAACCATAATACTAGATAAAATAACAGGTCCAGAGCTGTACTTGAAGCCGTGACGCGACGGAAAAGTACCATTGCCGAGTAAACCACAACGCTACCACACATACACCAAAACACGATTCCACAAGTTGTACTTGTAGTTCTCGCGCGATTCACGACAAATCGCTGTGCGGCGAGCTGGTGGTCACGGCAAAATAAACACGGCGAATTGAAGAAAAAAATGAATGCCACAGACATGGTGCCTAATTATAACACTGACCTGAATTACGGAAAGCAGCAGAAGAACTGAGACAGATCAGAGCGAAAAACACGATCCTACAAAAACAAACAAACAATAAAAAAAATAAAAAATAACGGAATAATTAATGAACAGCAATCATATCAACAACACTCGTCACTGTTTGGTCGGTTATTTCAGACTCACCTGCAGAGCAGCATCGTTGTACTTTGAATTTTAAAAAAATGAAAAATGGGGAAAAAAAATTAAATCCTCACACTATCTCGCTGTGGCTTGGCTGGGAATAAAATAATACAAGACACGATCCACCACAGCAGAAACGAGCATCATGTTACATTTGCCGTCCGGCAGAGACAAATGCAATTGTCTTTGATCTAATCCTGGATTTGGGTTGAAATGAAAATCGCCTCCGGCGGGGCGGAATGAGGAAAAAAACGAAATGAAGTCCTCCCCCAGAGGCTCCTCTCGGCTAGGCGTCTTCCGAGAGTGCGAGGCTCACCGCAGGTGACTCTCATCCAGGTGGAGTGCCCCCCCACCCACCCATCCCCCGGAAGTCACGCCCATCGCCCGTCTCTCTCTCTCTTGCTGCTTT